GGGTGGAAGGAAGCCACTCTAGTCCCACCTTTCTACCAGTGGTGGCTGCGGGGGGTCCCCAAAGGATTTTAAATGGCCTGGGGGCAGCAGGTGGGCTGGGGGACACACATGGGGGAATAGGTAGAACAGCAGTGTGTGTGACCCTCCTTGTCCCCCAGGAGCCACTGCCAAAGTAAGCGTGGCACTCCCCATTCCCTCCAGAGCCTACGTTCTCTTCCCCACCCCCATCCTTCCCCCCAAACTTCTGCCTCTTCTCTTGCCCCCAAACTTCGTGCCCCAGCCCAGAGCCTGCAGCCAGATTCTATCCCACAGCCTGAACTCCTCACTCTCTTTTGCAGCCAAATTCCCTCCCAGAGCCTACTCCCCAATCCCAGACTTCATCCCAGAGCCTTCATCCCAGACCTACTCCTGCATCCAAACCACCCTCCCTTTCCCAGAGTCCCATCCCTCACCCCTCCTGCACCCAAACTCCCTCCAAGAGCCTGCATCCCTCCCCCCTAATCCTCAACGCAGCCCAACACCTGCTCCCAGTACCCAAACTCCCTCCCAGAGTCTTAGGCAGCTGGGAGGAGGGTGTTTGAGTGGGGGAGGGGTGCAGGCTCTGGGCATCATGAAAATGTCTGCAAACCTGCTGCCCTGATTGGCAAAGATGTCTGGTTGGCTGTGGAAGGGAGAATGGGGACTGAGGATTGTTCAGTTGGTATGAAGAGGCAAATAATCTATTTGGGGATCAGCAAATGAGCAGAGGATGATCTGGGCTAGAGAATTATTTGGAGAAACTTGTGTTTAAGAATAGTGGAGAAGAGAATAGATGAGGCATAATAGATAATTGGATTGATGGGGCTGGGAGCAACAGAAAGTCTTACTCAGAGAGGCTAACAGAGGATGATCTAGAAAAGACCATGAGCTGAACTAGTGTCTCCTACTATGTGGTATATTGTGCACACAGCCCAGATATGAAATTGAGGGTGTAGGATGGGACCGTTTTAGTGGTTGACAATCTCTTGTCATTCTTACCATTCTTTACTTGAATCGCTGACCCTTGGCCCTGGAGATGAACCACAGCTGGCTGCAAATAAGAGTACCACAAGTTAAAATTATCCAGATGCACTGATTCATTCCTCTAAATATCTTTATTTCTCTCTCTGTGGAATTGATGATTAGGACATAAAGCAGTTAGTGCAGATCTCCAGAATACTACTGGCTGTGATCACCTTCTCAAAACAAAGCAGTGAAAAGGTAAGCAAGAGGACTCTATTAATTTTCTTTGGATTTGAATGCATTCATTTATATTTAGAGAGTATAATTCATATAGTCCTTAGGTTTTCCATTTGAAGCTCCTTGTATATCAGGAATGCTTTTTGTATATGGAGTGGGTTAAAATAAACCAGACACAAGGGAATTTAAGGTATTTTGAGAAGGTGAGAAACAGTAAAACTATGCACTAAGCAGCAAATCAAGTGCTTCCTCTGGCATTTCCAATGGTAAAGGTGATTCTGGTCAGTTCTTTTAGTATAATTGTGAGTGTAATGACCATTTAGTATAAGATATTCATTCACTTAGGGTACATCTAGACTACAGGCTTTTGTCGACAGAAGTTTTGTTGACAGATACTGTCGACAAAACTTCTGTCGACAAAGAGCATCTAGACTACATCCAGTTCTGTTGACAAAACAAGCCACTTTGTCGACATGACAGTATAGACGCAACAGACGGTGTAGATGCAATAACACCTTCTGTCGACAGAACTCTGTTATTCCTCGTAGAATGAGGTTTACAGCCATCGACAAAACTGCTGAATTCTGTCGACGTTATGTTGACAGAACTCAGTGGCAGTGTAGACGCAAGTATAGTTTTGTTGACAAAAGTCCACTTTTGGTCACAAAACCCTGTAGTCTAGACACACCCTTAGGTACCACAAAATGAACCTTTAGAAAATGTACCCTTGTAACATTAAAAAAAAATCTAGCCAACTCAGTGGGCATTGCCCCCTAAGACAGAGTCAACCAACCTGTGTCTCCCTGGAGCCTGCTTTGTCTGTGGCACCTGCAAAATAAGATATACAAAAAATAATGAAGGCACTTAAGAAACATCTGAAAAATCAGTAGTTGTAAATCTGCCTACCGAGTACAAAACAGGATTTTCCCTCTAGAGCTAAAGGGGTGGGGAGCAAGGTTCCCTCTAAGCTGTGCACCCGCAAGCCTGAGCAGCCCTTTTCTGAGTCCCAAGCAGGCAGGGAGCTTCGCTAATCTGCTGGGGAAAGGGGTGGGGCACTTGCTCCCTGGGATGGAAGAGCAGGAGCAGCAGCAGCTGCCACCTGCTATACTGGCTCCAGCCTCTACTCCAGTCCTCCTCTCTTCTCTTCCTCCTCCCCGAGGGTCTGTACTGTGGGGGTGAGTGAGTACTCCAATCAGAGGCAGGAAGTACTTAGGGGATCATGTGCCCACATCGTGGTGAAGCTGCAGGCTGAGTGGGGAGGTATCAGTTCTTCAGTGTCTGTCACCGGCCATGTGGGAAAAGCTGGGTAAGTTACAGGCAATCAGTCAACTTCTTTGCTTTGCTCCCAAATCCTCCCTTGCCCATTCTTCCCCCCTAGCCTGCCTGTTGGGGAATGGGCTGGGCAGGGATTGCTTGTTTTCCCTTGTGTCCACTCCCCTGCTGCATATTCGGAGCAAGACAGTTGCCTTTTTACTTCTCTGCCTTCTATTTTCCTCCTCCTCTCACCAATTTGCACCCCTCTCCCTGATAACAAGACAGCACCTCTCTCTTCCCCCTCCCGTGATTTCATACTTTCACTTTGTTTGGAATTAGCTCAGTATCTCCAACAGTGAAAGCAAGACCAAACTTCTCCCTGCACTGTCATTGAAAATGGCAAAT